AGAGTCCCTGGGTGGTGCAAACGGTGAATGCGCTCTGCTGCTAACCCAAAGGTTGGCAGTTCAAGTCCACCCAGAGGCACCTCAGAAGGATGGTCTGGCAATCTACTTCAGAGAAGTCAGCATTGAAAACTCTTCTGGAGCATAGTTCTCTGACACATGGGATTGCTATGAGTTGGAATCTATGGCAACTAATTTTTCTGATACCCCTCAGGAGGTCATTTTCAAAGCATCATTGAATAAGCTCAATAAACCAAAACTCACTGCCGTCGAGTCTGTCCTATAAAACAGTAGAACTGCCCCAGAGGTTCCAAGGCTGTAATCTTTACAGAAGCAGGCTGCCACATCTTTCTTCTGTGGAGTTCGAACCACCAACCTTTTGGTTAGCAGCGAAGCGCTTAACCACTGCGCCTCCAGGGCTGCTTCAGATAAGCTCAGTAAACGAAACCCATTGCCATTGAGTCCATTCCGACTCATAGCGACCCTATAGGACAGAGTAGAACAGCCCCATAGGGTTTCCAAGGCTGTGATGTTTACGGAAGCAGACTGCCACATCTTTCTCCCACAGAACAGTTGGTGGGTTCAAACGCTGACCTTTTGTTTAGCAGCGGAGCACCTCACTACTGCACCACCGGGGCTCCTAAGCTCAATAAGGGTGCTTATTTTTGTCTGTATCGGCTCGGAGGGGAGGGCATTTGTCCTGTTGAAGCTGCCTGTGGGCCGAGAAACGGGAGTAAAGGCAGGACTGACAGCTAGGCCCTGGGGCTGGGCAGCGGGCAGCCCTCCCAACATCTGTCTTCTCTCTCACAGATGTGCACTCCCAGCAACACGCCTGCCACGCCACCCAACTTCCCCGACGCCCTGGCCATGTTCTCCAAGCTTCGCACCTCCGAGGGCCTGCAGAACAGCAACAGCCCCATGACGGCCGTGGCCTGCTCCCCCCCTGCAAACTTCAGCCCCTTCTGGGCCTCGTCCCCCCCCAGCCACCAGGCGGCCTGGATCCCACCCTCCTCCCCCACGGCCCACAGCTTTCACCACCTCCACCACCCACAGCCCACGTGGCCCCCCGGAGCACAGCAAGGGGGTGCCCCGCAGAAAGCCATGGCAGCAATGGATGGCCAGAGATGAGACTGGACGCCGCCAGGCGGGCGCTGGGGGGCGCCCAGGGCTGGGGAGCACTGGGGGTAGCTGGGGAGGGGGGAGCTGGGGCGGGCGGGGGGTTTCCTGAAGATCGCACTGGCAGATTTTATAAAAGAATTTTTGTGGGGTTGGGGGGGCAGTAAACTTCCTGAGCCTCTTGGGTCCTTGAGGAGTGTCTGTTCAGGCAAGTTTTTTTCTCTTTTTAATACGTATAATATATATAAATATATGAATATAACTAATGTATGTGAGCGTGGGGCCGGCAGACCTGGGGTGGTGAGGTCAGAGGGGAAGGGCCGGGAGAATCCTTCCCTTGGGCCAGCACCTCTTCCTGCACCCAGTCCCAGCGGCTGCTTCTAAGCCACATGACATGATCTTGCAGCCCGTTGTGTCTTGGCTGCCTTCTTTCAAAAGTGACGCCTGGAATTGGGAGAAAGGGGGACTGCCACCCCTCTAGTCCAGGAGCAGCCAAGTAGCGGCTGCAGGAGAGGCTCCCAGAAGTGCCCGGTGGCCGGAAGTGTGGAGGCCCCCTTTGCCATCCTGAGGCTCCCCCCGCCGCCAGCCTGGGAGCTGCGGGACCCAGGAGTCCTCTCCATCTCCCCTTCCACACCCCCCATTGCTGGTGTGGCCCCTGGGTGGCTTCGTGGCTCGTTCCACCTCCTGGGGTCCCCCTGCCTTGGGCTGGGTGTGGAGGCAGATACAGGACTGAGGAGCCAGCTTGAGACAAAAGCCCAGGCTGTCCCATCCCGCGGTTGTCCCACGGGCACCCTACCTCTCCCGCCACGTGTCCAGGGTCCGAGGAGATGGGCCCAGTGGAGAGCGCGCCTTTGGGTTTCATTCCCAAATCAGAATCTCATCTCACCGTGGTGAAATTTTAATTTAAAAACTTAAAAATAGACTTTTCTAACTTCCCTGGTTTGTGGTGCTTTTATTTACCGTGGTGGGAGATGCCGCGTTGGAGGGGGGCGGCGCTCAGCTGAGCTGCGTTGGGGAGGGAGCCAGGGTTGCCGCCATTTTGCTGGCCTGGGCGTTTCCTCCTGAGGGGATGTCTGGTCCAGGGGGTTGTGGTATAGGCAGGGCTGAGGTCAGGTGTGGGGAAGAGAGAAAGGCGAGTCCTGACTTGCTTACTCTATCCTCTTTTCCTCCTTGGCCCGTACACAACATGAAGCCCTCCAGGGGGAGACGGAGGACCTCCCCAGCGGGGCCTCAGTGCTCTGCCTGGAAGCCATTTTCTTCACCTGCAGCCGGGAGAGGGCCTGGTTCACCTGGTGGCCTCCTGAGGGCAGCCTCGCCCCTCCTTCCCGGCCCTGGCGTTCCAGCCATCTCCTGGCTGGGCCAGCTCTACTGTCCTGCCCTCAGTTTCCTTTGGGGTGGTGTGTCCCTGTGTGCATGTTTTATGACCGTGACCCAAAGGACACCCGAGGCTGATGGGGAGCCATTGGGATGGGGCTGCTCCCCAAAGGGACTTCCTTCCATTCCCTGCCCCCCACCTTCCCTGTGACCCCCCCCCCCAGGCGTTAGACAACTGGCCTAGCAACCCCCCCAGCTTCTCTGGGCAGGTGGTCGGGGGTGGGGAAGAATCTGCTGCCCACCTGCAGCAGGCGTGGGTGACCGGCCATGTGGTGGGATTCCTCCTTGAGCCCCTCCCTCTGCGACATACCTCCACACACACACAAACACACACACACCCTTAGGGGTCTCCACTGCTGGGGTTGGGAGCCATGCCCTTTCCTATTCTGCCCTCCTGCCATCACCCTCTCCCGGGCTTGAGAGAGACACAGATGGGGGTGGGGGCCCAGCAGGTTCTGGCCCAAAGTGAAGTGAAACTTGAGAAGGGCCTAGCCAAGCCAGCCTCCCAGCTCTGGGTGTGTCTTCTCAGACCTTCTCAAGCTTGTTTCTGGGGCAACCCCTCCTCTAGCGGAGCAGAACGTTCGGCCCACCTGCCCTTGCCTTCCTTCTGAGTGAGACCCATCTGTGTCTTCTGAAGCTGAGTTCGGCCTTTCAGTTTTGTTTCCCGAGCTGAGGCCTGCTGGAAACCCTCAGGGTCCTCCCACCATGGCCGTCACCCTCCACCTGTGCTTTCCCCTGCGGGGAGGGGGAGCCCCGGCAGCTCCCAGTGGGGAGGCCTGGGGGGCCAGACCCGTGGGTGGTCATGCTGGGCCTTGGGTGAGGGTGCAGTGGCGTGCCTGGGTGCGGGAATTGGGGGTGGGGGTTGGCCTGGGCTGCTGGAGATGTTGGTCCTTGCCCTTTTGTGGGCGTAGGGGAAGGCCTGGGTGAGGAGGGTTGGCCCGTCTCCCTGCCAAGCGAGTGAATTTGGACTTGAGAACAGGGAAACTGAGCCGGCTGACCTTCTGACATTTCACAGGCAGGGGTGGTGCCTGCGCAACAGAAATGGAGCCGGGGCTGGCACGGAGGAGGGTGGCCCTGGCCCTGCCTCGCAGGGAAAAGGGTGCGGGAGTGGGCGTGTTCATGCTGTGCCGCCCCATCGCCCCAAGCGGAGGCGCTGCCTGAAGATTGCCTGGATCCAGTAGATCAGGGGAAAGAATGTGCGCCCCTCCCGTCAGGAACACCCACTGTGCCCCCGCAGTACACCCAGCCAACCCACACCCCTTGCCACTCTCTCTTTCCTGTGTGATTCCGCCGCCCCCTCTCCTCACACCCTGAAGCAAGCCTCTGGCCCCCAGCTTCAGTTTCCCACGTCACAGGTGAGATGGGGGTGGGGGGAGCCCCGCCTTTGATTCGGGCTACTTCTTTCACTCTGAGCCATGGGAACAGAACTGAGGGCATAAACTTGCATTGATGATGTTAGGGTTTTATAGGTCTCGGGGTGAGGGGCAGCCCTCACGTACTGGGGCACCCCGGAATCTAGCTGAAGAGGGCTGGAGAACCCTCCACGCCCAGGGCTCCTCTGTTGGGGTTGAGCAGTGGGTGGGTGGGGAGGTTGTCCTTGCAGACGCTGCACCTGCCTAGCTCAGCCCCACCAGGGCCCCTCTGTCCCCTCTCACCTCCACGACCTTTAACACAAAGGATGAAGTGAGTCCTCTAGTCCACAGGTTTTGGGGGGCAGGTTCTGGGCGCAGCCAGTGTGGAGAGTACATTGAGCTGGACTGAGCCCACCCCTTCCCCCCCACCACTTCCCCCCCTCCCCTGCACACCTCGGCTCTGTCTTCGTTGGGGAGTGGAGGGGAAGGGGGAAATGGGGCATAAGCCATAGCAGCCCCTGGGTGGCCTTCAGGCCAGGCTGTCTCTGGAGCCGCCCCTTGCAGAGTGAGGACAGCAAACACCCTTCCCAGGTGGCTGAAGGCTTCCACTTCTGGCTGGTGGCACTGCTCCCACGGGCCCCGTGCCACGCACTGGGACCTGCCCTGAGCCAACAGTAGGAGGGCAGCAGGCAGCTGCCACCCTCACCTTCATGCCAAGGTACAGCTTGCGCACGGCACCACAGGTCCCACCCTACCCAGCGTGCCCCCGTGAGCGGGCCACCCTCAGGCCAGCGCCCCTGGGCCGGAGTGCAGCGTCGGAGCCAGGGAAGGCAGCAACACCCTGGACTAGGCAAGGTCAGGAAGGAGCTGGTCGGTGGGAGGGCAGGTCCCACGCAGGCCAAACCCGTCCCCAGAGCCAGGCCTGGGCGTCTCAGAGCCCAGCCCCCTCAGAGAACGGCTCCATCTGCCCGGGCTGGGGCTCTCGTTCTCAGGCTGCTGCAGACCCACCTTGCAAGAGGAGATCAGCTCCCTGGACCTGGGGCAACTCTGGAGGTGCTCCGGGGGCTCCTGGCCAGCAGTGGGCACCTCTCTCCCTCCTCCCCATCGCCGTCACAGCCTCCAGACCCCAGCGTCTTCCTAAACATTTATTGACAGCTCCGCTCAGTGAGCAGCGGTGGACCGTGGCCCCCGGGTGGGCTCCTGAAGCCCCTCCTGAGGAGGCATGCCCATGTGCATCTCCAGCCCCACGGGGCTGCCTGGCTGCAGGTTTGCCATGTCGGGGCTGGGTGGGTGCACCACGTCCGACTGGGAGAGGCGCCCCTCAGAGGAAACAGGTCTTTCTTTCCATTCACGTGAAGGGGCTGCAGGACAGGAAGGACTGAGGTTACTTCTGCCTCACTCCCCACGCCCCCGTAGCCCACCTGCTGCCCACCTCCTGCCCACCCCAGCTTGACCAAGGCCCAGGGAAGCCGGGAGCAGCCCCGCTGGCCAGGCCAAGCTGGGCCATGAGGCTGGAAAGGGGAACAGCCCCAGGGCCTCAGCGCAAGCCTGGTTTCTGGCCCCTGAGTGAACAGTGAAGGCCTTTTTATAATCTTTGTGAATTAAAGAAATAAGCAAGCCCCCTTATGGGGCAAGAGTCTGCCTCGTTGGTGATGTTTCCACCATTCTCCATAAATACAGGACCTATTAAGGCAACATTCAAACAGATTAAAAAAAACAAAAAAAAACAGTTGCTGTCGAGTCGACTGTAACTCATGGCGACTCCGTGTGTGTCAGAGTAGAACTGTGCTCCACAGCATTTTCAAAGGCTGATTTTTCAGAAGTAGATCTCCAGGCCTTTCTTCTGAGGTGCTTCTAGGTGGACTTGAACCTCCACCCCTCAGTCAGCAGCTGCATTAACCATTTTCACCACCCAGGGACTCCATTCACACAGAGAGCAATTTTGCTAAGACTACCCTCCCCCACTCTCCTGCTTCCGTAACATTCTAAGTGCCGTGGCTTAGCTGCTAACAAAAAGGTTGGCAGTTCGAATCCATCACCCGTTCCTTGGAAACTCTAGGAGGCAGCTCTACCCTGTCCTATAGGGTCACTATGAGTCGGAACTGGCTTGATGGCAACAGTTTTGTTTTTGTTTTTTTTAGAGCAGTGAAGTGCTGGGGAGAAGGGAGCTAAGTACCCCAAGAAGATAGAGTCCTGGGAGCCAGGGGCACAGACCTGTGCCCACTGTCCACCATCTGTCCCCTCCACTCAAGCTGCCCGTGGGGCCCAGCCATGCCTCAGTTACCAGCGCTGGTTCTGGGACCAGAGAACCTGGCTTCCAGTCCCAGCTCTGCCACTTCCTAGCTGTGGGACCTCGGGCAAGTGCCTTCATCTTTCTGTGTCTTGGTTTTCTCAACTATAAATGGGGCTAACAGTGGTCCCCAACGCCTTATTGGTGTGAGGATTGAAAATTGGTTCATATGTGCAAAGCTCCTGAACAGTGCCTGACTGGGGAGGAGCGCTCGATAAAGGTGAGGAGCTGGGACCTCCACCATCATTTATTCTTTTCCTGCGACCTCCACCCCTCAGCCTCGGACACCGAATGCTGGAGCTGGGAGGCAGGTTAGACAGCAGCTAGGGCTCTGAACCTGGGAGAGCTGTGTGTGCACTTCAGGGGACCCTTGAGCCTCCTGAAAGCATTTGTGAAGTGTGGTAGGTACATGAAGGAGCCCTGGTGGTGCCGTGGTTAAAGAGCTTAACTGCTAACCAAAGCGTTGGTGGTTTGAAGCCACCAGCGCTCTGTGAGAGAAAGATGCGGCAGTCTGCTCCTGTCAAGATTTACAGCCTTGGAAACTGACTCCACAGCCATGTGTTTGGTTTTGGTTGGTGGGGACCTGAAGGTCAGTGGCTTTCAGTAGAGTCTCATGAAGGCCTAACTCTGAGAAGCACTGATCTAGCGACCCCTTGTGGACAGATGAGGAAACTGAGCCTGGAGATGGGAGAGACTTGCTCAGAGTCACTCTTTTCTGTAAGACAGCCATTCTGCTGGCTCAGGGACAGTGCCCCTTTTGGACCCCCATGTCCTACAATGTCCCCAGGCCCTGTATGGCCGAACCCTGTGAGCCCTTAGGCTTCCCGGCTTCCAGGCATGATTTAGTTCCCGGTGAGAACAGCGACTCTGGGGGTCGTCCAGGCCTGGAGGTGGAGGGGTATCCCTGCCAGGACAGGGTCAGGCTGAGGAGTTCTTGGGGGCTGTGCCATGACCCCATGCCCACCAGCCACCATACAGAGCCCGTGAGCACTAGCCCTGGGAAAGTCAGTGCATCTGAGCAGGGGAAGGGCTCAGGCCTGGAGCCAGAGCCTTGGGTTGCAACTCTGCCCCTATTTTCCCTTCTGTAAAATGGGGACAGCAATAGTATCTACCCAACAGCCTGGCACACCACAGGCACTTAGTGCCTATGAGTTTTCTCCCTTGTCTCCTCCATCCCATCCCTCAGCTCCCTGGCCCGTCCTCTCCCCAGGAAATAAAGGTATAAACCAGCCGTGAGCAGGAAACGGGCTGGCAGAGCAAGGAGGAGGGACCCAGGGGTAGTGCCGAGGCTGCCTGGAAGGACACTCCACCCACAGGGAAGCTACCTGAGTTGTTGTTGCCTGCCAACATCTGAGCACTCTGAGGCCGTGAGGGCAGTTGGCCATTGTTGCCCGTGGACTGCTGCCGTTGAATGTGGAGCCGGGACTGCTTGGACTTGTGCTTTACAACCCCTGGGGCTGACGGGGACAGTGGGAGGAAAGGGTCAGTGCTGTGAAGCACCAGAGGAGAGCTCTGTGGGGACTCGTGGGGATGGCAAGAGGGCTGCAGGGCTGCTGGTCACGGCCAGCCTCAGCTGGGCCCCTTCTCTATCTGAATTCATGGATATGCCCTTTATGAGCACTTCATTCATTCACTTGTCCATCCACCCATCCAGTCATCCATCCATTTGTCTGTTCATCCATCAACCATCTGTGTACATCCATCCATCCAGCCACCCACCCACCCACTCACTCAGATATTCTCTGAGGATATACACACATCAGCCCTGTGCCGGGTGCTGGGTGAATTTGAATCCCAGGTTTATAGCTCTGGAGGGAAGACAACTCGAAAGCTGCATCACAGCTGTAATACAAGATGGGGGTGAGATGTAGCACTCTTCAGCTACGGGTAACTGGCGGTGGGCCTTCAGGGGAATGTGGGATCACTGAATGGTGCCGGCTCAGGAGAGGGCATCTTGCTGAGTTCTGAAGAAGGGGTAGGGCTTGGTGTGGCGACACTGTGAACAAGACTGAGGCAGGACAGCATGAAGCTGAAAGGTCAACAAGAAAAGACGGGGCCACGACATGCCGGCTAATTGGCTGAGGCTGGATAGCTGTCCTCCACCTGCAAGCATTTACCTGGTGGCTTTTGGAGATTTGAATGTTGAAAGTCAGGGAAATAGAGAAGGAAGGAGCCCAAGGTCCAGTGGCCCGAAGAAGTGCCTGGCCTACTAAGAGATGGGTGGTCGCCGTGGGACCTGAGCTACCTTGGACACTCACCATTCTTGGACAGGATGCCCGGCAGCCTTGTATCCATCCGTCCCTTGTAAATGTGTCCATCCAGACCCAAGATGTCCACCTCGTCATGCTGTGGAGATGGACACACATCCATTACCACTGCAGGTCCCAGGGGGGCCTTCTGCAAGGCCAGGGCTGCCAGCCCTGTCCCCCCCTGGCTCCTGGCACTAAACAGTGCCAGAACCCCCTGGGGACCTAGGCTGGTTCCAGGGCAGAGCAGCAAGGGGAACAGAAGTGGAGGCAGCCTTGTTCCGAGGGCCTGTGATGGGAGGCGGTTGTGCCGTGTGGGGCAGGGGCCAGTTTGAGGTTCTTCTCCCAACACAGGATAACACCCTGAGGCTTTAACTGGGTCAGCTTAAGAAACTGCCTCCAGGCAGGGGGCTGTTGAGGTGACTTCTGGTGGGTTTTTCCTGCATGACTTGAGACTCTCTGGGGACAAGGGCCCTCCCTCCCCCAGGCAGCCCCCGACCTTCATGGCAATCTGGACCTCCTCGGTGGGGTACAGGCCCTGTGACAGGTGCTGCAGGCGGCTGCGGCGGTAGGGGTAGGTGAGGGTGTGGCTGCCTCCGCAGCGCCGTGGCACGGGCGCATAGGTGTAGTCGGCCATTTCCGGCACCCTGTGAGGAAGAGAGCCGTGCAGGCACTTGGAGCAGGCCACCAGGGACGGGACCTGGGACACACCTACGGGGGCACGGCCAGAGGGAAGTGCGGTAGCTTTCTTCAGGGGTCTCTGGGAGCTAGGGTAGGAGCAGGCAGGCAAGTGAGCAAAGCAACCTGGGGCCAAGCCAGGTCATGCTGAGGAACACACACACTCACACACACACACACATGCACACACACTCACACACAAATATACACACGCACACACACACTGCTGCCCCTCAGATGCTCCTCTACACCCCCAGCCTGGTCCCAGGCCCCCACACTAGACTCCCAGGCTAAACAGACATCCCACACATACACAGAGCAAACTGACGCCCCCGGGAGACAGCACTCATTCCATCCTCCGCCTCTTTTTGTTATCCTGGGCCGTGGGAGGGGACCTAGACACACGCACACACACTCCCACACTCACACACACCCACTCAACTCTCTCACATTTCACACTGACATTCAACTCTCACACTCACACACACTCACACTCAATTCACACTCAGCTCTCACTCTCACTCAACTCACACACACACTCTCCCTCAGCTCTCACATTTACACACTGTCACACTGAGCTCTCTCACACTCACACTCATGCTCCCTCAGCTCTCTCACACTCACACTCCCTCACACACGCATCTCACTTCCTGTCTCTGTCAGGGCTCTCCTCCGCAGTGGGGTGGGCACCATGCTGCCGTGTGTGGGCAGAGCCCAGCACCACACCCGGCGCTCTCTGCGCCACCATGGACTCCGGCCCCCCTACCGCTTGTAGCAGGGGGAGCTGAGGCACTGGGCCTGCAGCAGCTCGCGGATCATCTGGCTGCTGGCCTTGACGGAGCCGCCGAAGTGGATCTGCACCTTCTCGATGTCCCTCAGCATCTTGGAGTGCATGGTGCGCAGGCGCCCCACGCTCCGCTCCATCTGCCCCAGGTCGCCCCGGGGGAAGGCACTGCCCAGCTTTAGGCTGTGGGTGCGGGCAGAAGAGAGGGAGAGGCCAGGACTCAGGAGACGGCTCCACCCAGACCTTAGCCAGGGCTGCACCTTCCAGAGCCCACCCTCAGACATGGCGCCTCCTGCCAGCTCCAGGTCCCCTATGGCAGGCCCCTGGGGGGGCCACAGCAGCCCCACGTGCTGAGGGCCCCTTAGCCAGACTTGCCAGGAAGGGTTTTCCACAGGTGGTAAAGGGTGGACAAGCCAAGAAGCCAGGGTGGAAGACTTGGAAGTCGGCCACTCGCCTCTCCCTGTCACCGTCACTGCACACCAAGTCCCCCATACCCAGAGCCCCTGGGGCTCCAAAACGCACTCTGCCAACCACCCTTGTGGCTGAATCCCATCCTGAAGAGGTGGAGAGGCAGCGGATAGCTGGGGCCCACTGCCCAACCCCCCTTCACTGAGCCGTGCCTCCAGCTAGGTGACGTGGGACCCCTGCCCCCACTCCTCCAGTTCCAGGTTTGCTGAGGCAGCTGAAGGAGGTAGAAGGAAGAGCCCTCCAAGGCAGCTGCCCCCTCGGCAGCTCTCATCCTAACTCCCCAAAACCCGTTGCTGTCGAGTCAATTCCAACTCACAGCAACCCTATAAGACAGAGAACTGCCCCATATGCTTTCCAAGGCTGTGATCTTTCAGAAGCAGACTGCCGCATCTTTCTTCCGCGGAGTGGCTGGTGGGTTTGAACTGCTGACCTTTCAGTTAGCAGCCAAGTGCTTAACCACTGTGCCACCAGGGCTCCTCCCAGAACTCCCAAAGGGGTCCGAAAAGGAAGGTTATTAAGAGCTCTTCCTTCTTCTCCATCCCGTTGCTCAATCCCTGGGACGTGCTGGCGAGCCCCAGGTGGCCCCACGGGAGGAGGAGGCCTCCACACTTCTCTCCAGCACTGCAGGCCCTCGGAGGGGCCTCTCCCCACCTTCCCCGTCCAAAGCTGCTGGGACTCCCTCCATGGCCATACTTGCGGCTCTGCTGCCGGATCTGCTCCAGTTCAAAGACGGTATAAGGCCGGATGGACCGGTGCCCGGGCAGGCCTGGGCCTACTGGTGTCACGGGGATGATCCTGGGCCGGGACAGAGAGAGGCAGTGGGTCCCAGTGAGAAATCTGCTGAGCCTCCAAATGCGCCGCCCACTCCCCACACCCCACCTGCCTAAGGACCGTCCCCACCCACCCAGGATGGAGCTGCCTGGGATGGAGCTGCCTGGGATGGAGCCTCCCAGATGGAGCCACCCGGAAGGGGCCTGCCGGGGAAGGCAGAGCAGTGGGAAGCAGGCTGGGCACACGGGAGCCGACCCACAGAAGAAAGAGAAGGGAGAGAAGAGGTGGGGCGAGCGGGAATGGAGGAGATGGAGCCTGCTGCCCTTGCCATCAAGGCCACCAGCTGGGCCCAACAGGGGAGCCAGGAGTCGGCCAAGTGTGGCACTCACTGTCCAGTCACAGGTGTCTCCAAAGGGCGGTCACACGAAAGGCAGTGGAAATGCACCAAGAGCTGCCTGTTGGGAATGGGGTGCACATGAGGTGAGTGTCTGTCGGGAGGGCCCGGGATGGCAGACACAGAGAACTGGGATGGCGTGGCCCTGTGCAGCTGGGCAGGCCAGGAGCTCAGCTCCAGGGGTGCTGGGTGCCAGGTGCTGCCACCTGGCAGGTATGGGCCTGGTCCCAGGATCTCACCAGCTCCTCCACCTCCACATGCCCACTTCCGGGCACATCCTGCTGACCCAAAGCTGGCAGGGTTCCCAGGGGTCCCTGAGGGTGCCTTATGAGCCTTGCGGGCCTTCTGATGGCCCCAGCAGGAAGGCCTGGACACAAGCCTGCCACAGGCCAGGGCTCCCAGGGGCCAGCTCAGCTCGGGTGGTCTTGGGCCCCCTCCATCTGAAGGCCCAGCATAGCATATCCCTTCCCAGAGAGCCTGATGCCTCCCACCCCATCCCAGCAGGAATCTAGCCTCCTTTCTCCTCTGTGATATGAAGTGGTCTGGGCTAGACCTTTTCAAGCTCTGAAATTCTGTCCCTCCAACCCCGGAGGTGTTTATTTGGGGGACCTCCCAAGCCCACCACCTGTCCTCACGCCACGGAGCGTCAGCCTCCCCGCCATCTCTGGCCTCACCTCCGCATGGCAGCTGCCTCATCGGCTTGGTAGAACGGAGGACGCTCTTTAAGCTGCTGCCGCAGGGATTTCCAGCGGTCCTCCAGCATGTGCTTCACTGGGTCCAGCTCCAGACGGTCCAGCTGCAGGGGTGAAGGCGGAGGGGAGCAGGTGAGTGTCGGCTAGGAAAGCAGGTGGGTGGACCTGGCCCCGAAGGAGGTGGTGCTCTCTCTGGCCAGGTGTATGGTGGGAGCCCCCCTGCGGAGCCCCCTTGCCCTTGCCTTGCTATCCATCTTCAGCAGGAGCGTGTCCAGCATCTTCTGCCAGTCCTGCTCCTGCCCGCTCATCTTGGCCACCAGCTCCTGCACCATGTGGTTCAGCTGCTCCGTGGTGGCGTCAAACTGGATGCGGCTCACTTTACCTGCCAGGGCGCTCTTGTCTGCTTTCTGCCCAGGAGAGAGGAGAAGGCCCCCATGGGAGCAGAGCCAGGAGGTTCCCAGCCCCGCAGGGGTGGACCCCGGACACTGACATTGAGCAGGTCTCCTCGAGCCCAGGTTCCCCGACGCCCGCCCTCCAAAGAATAACTGGTGCCATTTCACACCCACGCGGGTGGCTACTATCAGAAAAACAGAAAATAAGTGTTGGCGAGGAAGCAGGCAAGTTGGAGTCTTGCGCATTGCTGGTGGGAATGTGAAATGGTGTAGCCACTGTTGAAAACAGTTTGGCGGTTCCTTAAAAAAAATTAAACATAAAATTCCTAGGTGGTTGTTGTTAGGAGCCATTGAGTTGATTTTCAACTCATAGTGACCCCATGTGACAGAGTAGAACTGCCCCATAGGGTTTTCTAGACTGTAGGTTTTTTTTTTAATTATTTTATTTTTGTTGTTGTCGAGAATATACAGAGCAGAACATATAACAAACAATTCAATAGTTTCTACATGTGCAATTCAGTGACACTGATTACATTCTCTGAGTTGTGCAACCAGTTTCACCCTTCTTTTCTCAGTTGTTCCTCCCCTATTTACGTAAACTCACTGCCCCCCTAGGTTTCCTAGCTAATTTTTCGAGCTGTTATCAATTTGGTCCCATATAACCCATTGCCGTTGAGTCAATTCCAACTCATAGCAACCCTATCGGGCAGAGCAGAACTGCCCCATGGGGTTTCCAAGGCTGTAACTCTTTATGGAAGCAGACTGCCACATCTTTCTCATGTGGAAAGGCTGATGGGTTTGAACTGCCAAACTCTTGTTTGGCAGCTGAGTGCTTAACACTGCACCACCAGGGCTCCTTATAGATAGATCTTAAAAAAGCACAATGCTCAAGGCAGACATTCTTTACTAGCTAAGTTAAACTATTGTTTGATTTTAAGTAGGCTTCAGGGGACATTTTTGGTTTAAGGTTTAAAGATTATCTCAGGGAAATAGATTCAGGTTTTCATCCAGCCTCGATAGCTCCAGAAAGTCTGGAGTCTGTGAGAATTTTAAATTCTGTTCTACATTTTCCCCCTTTTAGCCTGTAATCTTTATGAAGCAAATTGCCAAGTCTTTCTCTCGCAGAGCTGCTGGGTGAGTTCAAACCACCAACCTTTTACTTAGCACTGTTGTGCCACCAGGGCTCCTTAAAAATTACCATATGATCTGGCAACTCCACTCCTAGGTATATAACCAATAGACTTGAAAGCACAGGTTCAAACAAATACAAGTAGTCCCCGGACTACGAACAAGTTCCATTCTTAAGTCTGTCTTTAAGTTGAATTTGTACGTAAGTCGAAACGGTACAGTTCATATCCAACGTCAGTCAAGTGTTTGTCTTAATATATAGCATATAGTGTACCTTTCTATGCATAAAAAACATTAAAGAAACACTTCCAGATACACTAAACCATCTTTAACATAATAATACGTGATAATAATAATAATGTTTCGGTGCATGTTGCACAGTGGCGCCCGTTTGTTATTACGAATCATTGCATGTACCTCAAATTCTTAATATAATAGGCTTTACAGGGGTTGGTTCTTAACTATGGGTTGTACATAAGTCAGATGTTCGTAACCTGGGAACTGCCTGTACTTGCACACCAATGTTCACTGCAATGTTCATCGTTCAATGGCCAAAAGGTGGAAACAACCAAATGTCCACCAATAGATGAATGGATAAAGAAAATGTGGTATATCCATACAATGGAGTATTACGCAGCCATAAAAAGGAATGAAGTTCTGATACACGCTACTGGATGGATGAATCTTGAAAACATTGCTGTTTGTTGTTGTTAGGTGCTGTCGAAATGGTTCTGATTCATAGCGACCCTATGTACAACCGAACAAAACACTGCCTGGTCCTGTGCCATCCTCACAATTGTTATTGAAAACATTATGCTCAGTGAAATCCATCAAGCTCAAAAGGACAAACACGGTATGATCCCACTTACATGAGCTATCTAGAATAGGAAATACACAGAGACACAGGTTTATCAGTGGTAACCAGGAGCTGAGGGGAGAGGCAAGTGGGGAGTTACTGTTTGAGGGGTACTGGGTTTCTCTTTGGGGTTAAGAAGTTGTTTTTGGACGCGGATGGTGGTGATGGATGCACAGCGTGGTGAATGTCCTTGATGTCACTGAATTGTACACTTAAGCTTGGTTGAAAGAGCCACTGTTTTTGTGATGTGTAGTTTACCACAGGGAAAAAAACAAACAAACCTAAAACCAAAGCCGTTGCCGTCGAGTCGATTCTGATGGATAGCGACCCTATAGGACAAAGTAGAACTGCCCCATAGGATTTCCAAGGAGCAGCTGGTGGATTCAAACTGCCAACCTTTTTGGTTAGCAGCTGAACGCTTAACCACTGCACCACCAGGGCTCTGCCACAACCCCAATTTAACCCCTCCCCCAAAAAAAGAATACCCAGTGAGATGGTCCTGGGACACAGGCGGCCCTTGGGGGCCTGAGCTTACCACATCCATCTCCATCTCCAGGTGCTCCCTGTTGGCCTTCTCCTTCTCCAGCTTCTCTAGGCCCTGGTACAATACCTGCGGGTGGGGTTAGTGGAGAATAAAGAGAGAGGAAGGGATGGGCAGGGGGCCGGCAGGCGGTGGGTGGAGCCGGGCCTCGCCCCCCACCCACCTACCCACCCACCCCGGCTAGCTCCTCACGTCGATGTCCTTCTGCTTCTGCTGGTGGTCCTCAATGAGGTTGCTGGTGGTGATGTTGAGCTTCTCGCAGTCGCCCTGCACCTGCAGGATGGCGCTCTGCACATGGCCCAGAAGCTCCTCATCCTGAGCAGGAGGGACAGAGTATGCCTCTCTGAGGCTGCTGGGCCACCTCGTCCCCATGCCCACTTTGTGACGAGCCAACCCGTATAACACCACCCACAGAGGAGCTCACTTTCGACCCCCTTCTGGCTCTCGTCAGTGGCCTTTGCGATTTCCCGCTGACAGTGGAGAAAGCTGTGCTGTCTTTCCCTGTGTCCGCCCAGGACCCTGGACCCTGGTGTGGGTTGCTGCCCTGGCTCAGTTCTGCTTCCCCGCCCCTCGAGTCCCAGGAACCTGAGTGATCAGTAAACGTGACTCGAGATGTCCTGCAATCAACTCCCAAGAGTTGGGGTGTGTGTTACAGCCTGTCTCCCCTCTCCTGGGCTGACTCTGAATTCTTGAGTCCAAGAGGGAGGACTCAAGGACTCATGGCCCTCTTATCCCCACCACCCTCCTCCCTCTCGCCAGCCTACCCTTTGGAAGGAAGTTGGGAAGGTTCCAGAAGAGTGGTGTGCAGGAGTGCCAATGTCTCCTGGTGCTGGACCAGTGTCCCAACAGCACACAAATGGCACATCTCGGTGCCTAGCCAGCCTGTTTTGGCTATCCCTGACAGTCCCCTGTCCTCAGACCTAGCTCTGCCTGCCCTCGTTGTGACTGTGAATGGACCAGGGGCTCCAACATGGAAAACTGACTCTCAGGCCCAAACTCCCCCTAGCTGGGGCGCTCTATCAGCCGCTTCCTCTGTGGGCCTCAGAGCGGCTCTTCCCGGGGGGCCATGTCTGCTGCCCCAGGAGGGAAGGTGGAGCATTACCTGGCTCTGGAGCTTGGCTTTCTTGGAGGGCCGGGAAGCAGCCAGGCTGTTGACCATGTCCTGGAGCTGCTCGTAGCGCTGCACCAGCATGCTGACCTGGTGACTCACGTCCAGGCTGCAGGCGGGGCAGGTGGCCTCAGGGTCAATCTGGCCAGGTGCCAAGGTTACCGGGGCCTTGGAAGGGGTCATGCTCATGGACAGCAGTGTGGAAGAGGAGGTCAGCATGCTCTCGATGATGGTCCTGAGCTTGTCCAGCTGGGTGCGAGAAGAAGTCAGGGCAGGGAAGTGAGGTAAGACACGGCCGCGTTCTGTCCAGGCCCCACCACCGGCATGGTGCGTGCTGCCTTTTCCTCAGTGCTCGCCGAGTGCATGGCACACAGTTGGTGCTCAATGTGTGTCCACTGGGTAGTGAACAGAGTCCTCAGGGAGTGTAGCATTAATGCTGAATACAGCTCTTGAAGGAGGGAGGTTTCCAGAACCTTCTCCAGCCAGCCCATTGGTCTGGCGTGAGACCAGATCTCCTCTAGCAGAGTCCTAAAGTGGTGACGGTCTGTCAGTCAGTCCATACCATGCAGAGCACCCTGACAACACAAGAGCACCTCTCCAGGCTCTGGGGACACAGAGGGTGAGTGGACTCACACACGCTCTGTCCCAGTCTAGCACGTAAATTATTAACAATAAACGAATGTGAAAAGTGCTGACTACTACAGGGGTCTCTCATTGTCTGTGCAGGTATAAACCCCTCCACACACACCTCCTGCTCTCCCTGATCCCAGTTTGTCACCTCAAATGATGGGTCCCTAGGTGGACACAAGATTCAAAGGCAACCAATCCTTGTGACTTGTTGCCGGCTCAGAAAGAGATGCTGGGTCAACCCGTGCCCCTCTCTCTTGGACACAGAGAGAACCTTAAGCTGGCAGTGGGTGATGAAGCAGCAAAGATGTTTCAGGGGCTCGGGCAGCCGTCTTGGACCATGTCTGAGGAGTAAGAAAGTTGACTGCGAGCAGAATGGAAGAATGACACAGGAAGAGTGAGAGGGATGGACCAGGACAGGGACAGAGGCACAGACACAGGCAAAAACAGACAGAGAAGGACAGCAGGGAGTGGCCCGCCCCCAGAGCTGCCTCCTGTGGCCTGGAAGTCCCATTCTCCCAGTGCCCTACACGCGTACACACTCCCAGCGCCTCTCCCTGTGCCCTGAGTTCACTGGGGCTTTGTTGCTTGCAACCGGAAGGGTCTACACAGTGGCTAGCAAGTCACAGGGCCCCAGGATACAAAGGAATGAATGAATTCTTTCTAGAAGAGAGGAAGAGACTTCCTAGAAAGCTAGATATTTGAGTGAACTCTTGAAGAATAAGTAGCAGTAGAGAAATAAGGGTTGGAAGGATGTTCCAGGAAGAGAAACAGCATGAGGAGGCAGGAGTGTGCGCAGAGAAATGTAGGACACCCCCTGGAGGCTGCTAAGTGCAGACACGTTCTTTGGAGCAACAGGTGGCTCTTGCACACATTATCTGCTGCCCCTCAAGTCCAGCACTGGGTAATCAGGGCCTGGGGTCATGACACAGTACATGTCACTGCTCCAGCAAACTTGGGAGGGGACTCAGAATGTGGCCTGTAGCACAAAGTGGTTCGCGAACCCCCTTGGCCCAGAGAATTTTCCTATCTAGACCTTCTGTGAGTGCTCGGAGGGCTGTTTCTGGTTCAGACACTCCTTCTGGGGTTACCAAGTGTCTTAGTCATCTAGTGCTCCTCTAACAGAAATACCAAAAGTGGAAGGCTTTAACGAAGAGAAATTTATTTTCTCACAGTCTAGTAGGCTTCAAGTCCAAATTCAGGGCATCAACTCCAGGGAAGGCTTTCTCTCTATTGGCTCTGGAGGAAGGTCCTCCTTGTCATCAGTCTTCCTCTGGACTAGGACCTTCTCTGTGCAGGAAGCTCAGGTCGAAAGGACACGCTCTGCTCCCGGCACTGCTTTCTCGGTGGTATGATGTCCCCCTTCTCTGCTTGCTTCCCTTTCCTTTTATATCTTGCAAGGTAAAAGGTGGTACAGGCCACACCCTAGGGAAACTCCCTTTACATTGGATCAGGGATGTGACCTGGGTAAGGGTGGTGTTACAATCCCACCCTAATCCTCTTTAACATAAAATTACAACCCCAAAATGGAGGCCAACCACACAATTCTGGGAATCATGGCCCAGCCAAATCGATACACACATTTTTGGGGGGACATAATTCAATCCATGACAGCAAGAATAGCCTCATTCAAGGTTTAATGGCAGATGCCATCAAGAAAGTGAAAAGACAACATGCAGAACGGGAGAAAATATTTGCAAATCATGTATCAGGTCTAGTGTTCAGCATATGTAAAGAATTCTTAAAACTCAACAACAAAAGACAAATAACCCAATTTAAAAATGAGCAAAGGATTTGAGCAGACATTTCTACAGAAATGGCTGGGAATCAAACCCAGATCTCCCACATGGAAGGCAAGAATTCTACCACTGAACCACCAATGAATGCCCCATTCCCATTGCCCCATTGCTGTTGATTCTGATTGATGGTGACCCTATATGACAGAGTAGAACTGCTCCATAGGGTTTCCAAGGAATGGCTGTTGGATTCGAACTGCCGACCTTTTGGTTAGCAGCTGTCATGGATTGAACTGTGTCCCGCAAAAATATCTGTCAACTTGGCTAGCCCATGAGTCCCAGTATTGTGTGATCATCCACCGTTTTGTCGTCTGATGTGATTTTCCTGTGTGTTGTAAATCCTACCTTTATAATGTTAATAAGGCAGGATTAGAAACAGTTATGTTAATGAGTCAGGACCCAGTCTACAAGATTAGATTGTGTTTTCAATCACTCTTTTGAGATATAAGAGACAGAAGTGAGCTGAGAGACTGGGGACCTTATACCACCAAGAAACAAGAGCCAGAAGAATAGCATGTCCTTTGGACCCCTGTATTCCTGCACTAAGAAGCTCCTTGACTGGGGAAGACTGATGACAAGGCCCTTCCTCCAGAGCTGGCAGAGACAGAAAGCCTTCCCCTGGAGCTGATGCCCTGAATTTGGACTTCTAGCCTCCTAGACTGTGAAAGAATAAATGTCTGTTTGTTAAAGCCATCCACTTGTGGTATTTCTGTTATAGCAGCACTAGATGACTAAGACAGCAGCCAAGCTCTTAACCGCTGCGCCACCAGGGCTTCTAAGTCCCATTAGAGAAGCACAAATAAAAACCACAAGGAAATACCACCACACCCCCACTAAGCAGGCTATAATTAAAAAGACAGATAATAACAAGTGTTGGTGAGGATGTGGAGAAATTGGAACCCTCAAACACTGCTGGTAACCAAAACCCATTGCCCTTGAGTCAATTTCAGCTGATAGCAACCATACAGGACAGAGCCCCGTAGAGTTTCCAAGGAGCACCTGGTGGATTTGAACTGCCAACCTTTTGGTTAGTAGCCGTAGCTCTTAACCATTACACCACCAGGGTTTCCACGCTATTGGTAGGAATGTAAAATGATGCAACCTTTGGAAAACAGTCTGGCAGTTCCTCAGATGGTTAAACAGTTATTACCGTATGACCCGCAATTCCATTCCTAGGTTTTATACAAGAGAAATGAAAGCAGAAGTGCACAGATAACTTACGGACGTTCACAGCCCCATTATTCACAATCACCAAAAAGGCAAACAACCCAAATGTCCATCAGCAGATGCATGGATACACAAAACGTGGTATGGCCACACAAGGGCATGTTATTTAGCCACAAACCTGACTCAAGTGCTGAGACATGCTAAATGTGGATGACCCTCAAAAACCTGCTAAGGGAAGCCAGGTGCTAAAGACAATACTGCATATTGTATGAGTCCATTGATATGAAACGTCCAGATGTGGCAAATCCATAGAGAGAAAGTAGATGAATGGTTGCCAGGGGCTGGGGGGTGGGGGAAGGAGGAGTGACTGTAATGGGTACGGGGTCACTTTTTGGGGTGATGAAAATGTTCTGGAATTAGATAGTGGTGATAACTGTACAACTTTGTGAATCTACTAAAAACCCCCTTGTTCACTTTAAAGGGGTGAATTTAGTTACTGAATTATATTTCAATTGAATATACATATATATCAAAGATTTAATGGCAGGTGAGTGGCTTGCCAGAAGGGACACACTTGCCCATGCACCTGTGGTCTCAGAGCTGACTTTGGATCAGGAGTGGACCGGATCCTAGACATAGTCACCCCTTGCCCCCAGATGGAAGCGAGGGGTCTGGTCACTGATGAGTGGTGGGAGGCAGGGTTGCCCCCACTGTCCCCTGCCAGCCCTAAGGACGGCCCTGGTCCCTGAGGTGGAAGAATGGGCAGTCCTCACCTGATCCTGCAGGTAAAGGGAGGCCTCGGAGACTGAGTGTTCCATGCTGACCTTGCCCCGCTCTTGGCTCTCCCTCAACTCGGCCAGCTCCTTCTCAATGTCAGCCACGGTGACTCTGGGGAACACAAAAGACTGCCTGGCCTCGCCGCCAGCCCAGAGACACGAGCCACCAGGGTTGGGTCTGGCCATCAGGGATGGAGGAGGATGCAGATGAGGGCCCTCCCATCACCCTTAGCAGTCTGCGTCTAGGGTGTCCAAGGCTCTGCTCTGTCCTGGAGGTGGGTGCCCTGAGAAGTCTCTAGGGGGTGGGACTGGGCTCTGAAAGTCTCTAGAAAGTACTCTCCTCCAACTGAGACAGAGGCTAAGGAGCTTTTCATCTTTCTAGGGAGCCCTGGCGCTGGGCTGGGACGCCCTGGTGCTGGGCTAGGAAGCCTAAAGCTGGTCTAGGGATCCCTGAAGTTAGGTTTTAGGAACCTGGGAAACCTCCATAAGCTTCTTGGGCTTGATATGGGCAACCTGAAGAGCAGATACCTTTCAGGTCAAAGGAAGTGGTCAGTTCAGGGACATGAGTGAACCAAAGGCTGCTATCACTTCCATGGCTGAGGAAACGTGATGGCAGGATTCAGCTGCACTTGACGGGGATTTTACCTGAGAACGCCCAGCTGCAAGCTCAGCTGGCCAGCTTTCACTTCTTTCCCTGTTTCTTGCACCTCTTCACCCTCCAGGATCTTTTGCAGCCTGTCCAGCTACAAACCCAATGGAAAGGAAGAAAAGGCAGGCCTGAGTTCTCCACTTTCTGAATGTGCCCCTGTAGCCCAAGCAAGTCCCTCACCCATTTCCTAATTGTAATCCAGTCTTCTGTGACAAAAGCCAAGTTCTCCTCCTGACATTCCTCCATCCATCCATCCACCCGCCTGTCCACCCATCTACCCACTTATCCACCCAACCACCTATCTTTTCATCCATCTACCCATTCACTCTTCCTTCCTCTCTCCCTCCTTCCCTCCCTCCCTCCTTCCCTCCCTCCCTCCCATTTATCCACACATCTATCCATCCATCCGCCTCTTTTAAGCACCCATGGATGTAAACAGTTGGCATTAAAAGAATGGCTGAAAATCTAGCAGCCGCTAGCCGTAGCATCTGGCCCCAGAAAAACAAGGCCCCACAAGCTCGGTTCCAAGGCTGCTCCAAATGCAGTGAGTTTTTGTTGGAAATGGAACCATGTAATAAAAGGAGACAAAACCCAAAAAACGTGGTGGATTCGAATTGCCAACCTTTTTTGTTAGCAGACGAGCTCTTAATCACTAAGCCACCAGGGCTCCAAAAGGAGCCAAGTCCTCATTATTTGGCTCAGCTGACTCATAACCACACTGAGCATCAGATTGTAGATTCAGGAAATGCACATGATGATACTCAAGGTGCATTTTCTACCTGACGAGACTAAAGATCCAGTGAGACAATGATGTTTGGGAAACACAAGTGAACCATGGTACTATTAAGCACTAAAGGGCAAAGCAGGCTGACTCTCCCTTACTTACTTTTGCTTTTTCCTGCCGAACTTCTTTGGTCAAGGTCTTTAAGCTCTTCATCTGTTCCTGCAGGTCAGGGGGTAGGCTCTTTTTGACTATGGAAAATGGAAGCCTTACAGTCAGAGGGGTTAGATTTCCAGTGGCTTCCCAATCCCCACTTCCAGCCCAACAACAATGAAAGTACCCCAGAGAAAAACAGGACATATCACTGATTCTGCTTGTCCTGGTGATTAGGGGCAAGGGGATGAGAAGAAGGGGGAAAGGACTGTCCTTAGCCCATAAAAATTCCACCTAATGCTTGATGTCCTAAAAGGCTTTGGGACCTCTGGCCCACCATTTCCACCTACTTCTAAAACCTTTATTATTTTCTGGGCCAGGAATTGTGAATAGGCCAAGGTTTGGCTTAATTCAACAGTCCCTTCCCCCTCCCCCGCTGCTATTGCAGTCCCTTTCCCAGCACTTTCCCCAGCTACCACCCAGAAGGCCCACCAAGGACAGAAGAACCTGCTTCATTCCTTTCCTGAGGCTGCTTCAATCCTGCTGGTTTCACTGCCTCCTTTTCCCACCTATGCATTTGGACCCTGAAAGCTATAGGACCACCCAGAATGACTAAGAAAGGACATGCTGTCTTCCGGGACTCAGGAAGAAGGCCAGCAGCCAGGAGTGGAGGCCAGCAGGAGGAAAGGATGCAATCAGCTTAGGACTAAGACAGTGGTCTCCCCTCCATGTACAAGTGGTACCCACCCATCAGTGCAATCATGTACTGTATCTTCTCCAAATCCGTTTGGCCAGCTCGCTCCTCTTCCAAATCATTTATATGCTCCTTTAGCTCCACATAGAGGCCAGTGAGCTCTCCCATCAGACGAAATGTCTCCACTGCCATGGGGAAGCTTGGAGCCAATTTTTCCAGGGAATCGTGTCGCTCACTAGAGTCTTCAACATTTTCTGATGAGCTTTCGTAGAGAACGCCAGGAGAGTCTGTCCTCCTGACGAAGGTGGTGTCCTTGCCCGGGCCAATCTGGGCAGGAATCCCAGGTTGGGCATCTATTTGATCTCGATACAAACCTATCTGACCATGCTGATCTACGCCTGGGTACCCTGGACCACCATAGCCAGGATACATTGGGCCAGGGTACTCATGACCTCTCTGATCTGGGCCAGGTAATACCAAATGCTGTTGATCTGAGGGTGGTACCAAACCCTCTTGGTCTATACCTGGTGATATCAAACCTGGATGAGCTAAGAGTGGTGATACCTGGCCATACTGATTTCTGCCAGGAGGTACCATACCTTGCTGATATGTGCGTGATGATATCAAACTTGGAGAAGCTACTTGTAATGGTGAAAAGTCACGAAGCTCTGTGCCTAGTGGTGACAAGCCTTGCTGATAAAGTCCATGGGGTGCCAAACCACGCTGATCTGCTCCAGGCTCCAGCAAACCACTTGGATGTGCACCAGGTTGCACCAGTCCACGTGGATAGGCACCAGGTCGGACCAAACCAAGTGGATAGGCACCAGGTTGCACTGAACCAGGCGGATAGGCACCAGGTTGTGCCAAACCATGTGGATATACACCAGGCTGGACCAAGGCACGCTGGCCTGCGCCAGGCTGGACCAAGGCACGCTGGCCTGCGCCAGGCTGGACCAAGGCACGCTGGCCTGCGCCAGGCTGGACCAAGCCACGCTGGCCTGCGCCAGGCTGGACCAAGCCACGCTGGTCTGCTCCCGGCTGCACCAAACCATGCTGATCCATTCCAGGTTGCACCAAACCAAGCTGATCTACTCCAGGTTGTGCCAACCCGTGCTGATCTGCACCAGGCTGAACCAAACCATGCTGATCTGCACCAGGTTGCCCCAAAGTAGGTGGATATGCACCCGGTTGTGCGAAAGTAGGTGGATATGCACCAGGTTGTGCGAAAGTAGGTGGATATGCACCAGGTTGCACCAAGCCATGCTGGTCTGCACCAGGTTGGACCAAACCATGCTGATCTGTAGCAGGTTGCCCTAAACTAGGTGGATATGCACCAGGTTGAACCATACCACGCTGATCTACACCAGGCTGCCCCAAACCATGCTGGTCTGCACCAGGTTGGATCAAGCCACGCTGATCTGCACCAGCCTGCACCAAGCCACGCTGGTCTGCACCAGCCTGCACCAAGCCACGCTGGTCTGCCCCAGCCTGCACCAAGCCACGCTGGTCTGCCCCAGCCTGCACCAAGCCACGCTGGACTGCCCCAGGCTGCACCAAGCCACGCTGGACTGCCCCAGGCTGCACCAAGCCACGCTGGACTGCCCCAG